TATTGGTTCTTAAGGATTTCAATATTCATGCTGAGGGCATCTTGTTTGAAACAGATCAAGCTTTTGGAATCCTTCTAATGTGCCATCAGCTCAGCACACATGTGGACACTCTCTGGATTTGTTTACTTCTGCTGGAAATAGGAATGGTGCTCTGACTGTGGGGGAGCTAGGCCATTTGCTTGGTCAGATCACTGCTTGCTGAAATTTAGACTTTTCTCCTCTGGAAGGGCAGGGGAACCTATTGTGATGATATGCCCCCAGAGGTTTATAGATCTGGCAGTTTTTCTCAAGGCTTGGGGCAGTAGTTCTGGCTGATATGGCTGGTGCTCCTGTTGAAGTTGTAGTCAAGTTTTGGAGCACAGAGATGACCCAGGTGGTTCCCACACTCCTGAACATCCTCTGCATTCTATAGCTTGTGTAGCTCTGCAGTATACCCTAGAGCTGAGAATGGTGAAAAACATAGGGAAAAGATTGCATGGAGGTGGAAAAGAATTGTTAGTGGATGAACTCAGGTATGTTCCTTCAAGCAGGCATATTTAGCAGCAGTGGGGATGACAAACACTATCTCACTACCTCTATTTAATCTTTTTTTTTTCCTGCTGCTCAATGAAGTTTTTCATGGTTGTCCAGAACCTATTGCTGTCTGGAATTAAGGGCTGTGGCCTTCCCTCATTCATTACAGACTGCTCAGTTAGATTCATCTGATTCTGAGGAGGAGGTGGAGAAGCAAGGGTGGAAAGAAAATTTGCTGACTTAAGGCCACCTAGTGAAGTTTCTCAGGCACAGCATGAGAATCTGCCTGCTTTGGAACAGGCAGAAGGATTTTCAGGGTGGGAGGGGGAGCGTTTGCAAGACCCAGCTCTTGACTTGGTTAAGTGGCAGCAGGAGAAGTGTGTTGCCAAATTAAAGGGTCACCTGGATTCCTACCATCTGGCCTTCAAGCATGAAGAGCACTGTGATGCTGGCATCAGAAACATTATTGAAAGGGTGGGACAGAGGGGAGGTTTTAAGTTTGGCTTCACTTCTTTATTTGGGCAGATGCTTATCTCACCACTTGTAACAGGCTTTTATTTATACTATTTTGTAAGCAGAAAAGGGTCGATAAAGATTTATGTCTCTAAGGTTTCATATGAGCTTGAAAGGAGAGGGAAGGAGGGAGGTGTCCTGCTCATGAAAAGGGTAAACTAGACTTGAAGCTTGCTGTAACTGGACACTTCCTGGATAAAATCTCTTGCATCTATGAGGGCATAGACTCTAGAGTTATTGTGGCTGAACAGGTGAGGTACCCACAGCAGAACCTGGTTCAGTTTTATTGGATGAATTTTAGCTGTTACGATAGGGGAAGTTAGCAAGGTGCTTGAAAGATTTCTGGAACCACTTCTTTGTAGGATCTTTGATCCTCTTGGGTTATAAAAGCCAGCAAGAAGGAAACAACTGATCATTTGGGCTAGAAAGGTGATCATTGCTTCCTTAGGGATTGGTACCATTTTGCTTGACCCAGAAACCCCTCCAGAAAAAAAAACCCCTCCTTGACTCAGACGATCTTAATCACTTTAGGATACTAGCAATTTTTCCCTTCCTGAGCAAGGATCTTGAGTAGGTTGTGTTCAATCAACTCCAGGCACTCCTTGATTAAACTGTCTATCTGGATCCAGGGTTCAGACTAGGTTTTAAGCACAGAAACAACTTTGTTCACCTTTCATCATGACTGGGAAATAGAAAGGAGGACCGTGACACTGTAGATAATTCTGGATCTTTTAGTAGCTTTTGATACTGATGACCAAGGGATCCTTCTTGGCTGACTTTGTGAAGCAGAAGTGGGGGCATCTGCATTGCAGAAGTTATTTTCATACTTGGAGGGTAGGTTCTAGAAGGTATTGCTCAAAGAATATTGTTCAGTCCCATAGACACTACAGTATGGGTTTCATCAGGGGTCAGTCTTGTTCCCTATGCTATTGAACATCGGCGTGAAACTGTTGAGTGGGGTCATCCAGTGTTTAGGACATTCATATCATGTTAAATGTATCTAACAGTGCATGTACAGATTATATGAACCTAGTAGGTAGATATATTGTTGTTGTTAAATATAATCAAGTAGTCTCCAACATATGGTGATTCTATGAATGAAAGCCCTCCAGAATGTCCTTGTCCACATTACCCCTGCTTGGTTCTTCTAATGTTAAGGATATGGGTTCCTTTATGGATTCATAGTAGGTAGATATGGACAAGTGCAACTCAAATATCAATAAGCATGTGATTTATAGTTATCTTAATAATGTTATATATTTAAAATTATTTGATGTAGGAAAACTGTTTCATATGTATGTATGTAGCCTTGACTGTCTCAACTGCATAGTACATGTAACTCATGTCATGTGGAGTGGAATGTGGTGTCAGCATTCTGAAATCAGCACTGGTTCTCAAGTCATTTATATTGAAGAAAGAGAGACTGGTAGGAAGTTGTTTTAGTCCTCAGAGACTGTTCACATTTCTAATACAATACACAGTATAGCGGTATGCCAAGATTAAGCAACTGCCTACATCCAGATTTTTGGATTCCTGACCATGCTGACTAGCGCAGATGGGAGTTCTTATTTAGAATATCTGGAGGGCACTAGGTCACCACTATCTGAATTCTGAATTGACTGCAAGAAAAGCAGGTGGCAGCTAATGTTTGAGAGAGATAGCAAAGCCTCAGTAGGTCTCATCCTTAATTGACCTAGACATTCCATTCAAAGATATATCAGATCAGTATTTTTTATGCCCTCTGATTTAATTAATTGAATAATCAGGTCAAACAAGCATTCTGTGATTTCAGATTGGTTAGCCCAAGGCATCTAACAAGCTGTCCTACAATCATATACAACAAGGAGAAAAATGACGAGGGAAATCTCAAGATCTAGGGTTTATTTTTTAAAATTTTTTAACAGATCTTATGTTTTACATAAATAACAATCTTGCATCCAGTGTGGTTTGCAAACAGTGGAAACATTAGGGAAAAGAACCATGTGGATTAGATTAATGTAATTAAACACTATGTATATAAGCAGTATGGATACAAATGCATAGTTTTGTTTTTTCCAGCAGAAGGGTTGTCCACCTTAAATAGGGAATTAATCCATCAAGTACAATCTTCTGCACAATAATTGTGTTAGAGAGTAATTTCAAGAAAATAAAGTTTCAAATTGTTATTTGCAATTTGGACTCACATCACAGAGCATAGTGAAAATAGAATAGAGAGAAAACTTTCTGAATATCAATATCCTGGCTGCATTCTTGTTAAAAATACAATATCAGGATCCAATTTGTCATTCAGCATAAAGAGAAGCCCATTTTCATTATCTCTACAAAATCATATTGTCATGAAGGACTAAGTACAAAAGTATTTAAATATTAGTTGCCTTGGTTGAATCAATATGAATTTATTGAATTTATTGGTTGAGTTATGTCAAAAATATGGAGATAATGAAGAAAGTGCAAGTTGTATCTAGTGTAACAGTATTTTCAGAACCATTTCTTAATCATGGATATCATCATATCCATACATGCCCAGTTTCTTCTTGTTGTAGTAACAGGAGTAATAATAGTAAATATGTTTCACTTCTCACTACAAAAAGCCTTTTCTGTGGTGCATAATTAAGAGTTCTAGCACTTGGATGTAGTTTTACTGTTTTTTTAGTGTTAGTTAAACAAAACGAAATTGCAACCAAATACTGCTCTTTTATTTATTTATTTATTTATTTAGAAAATTTCTATGCCACCCCATTCGCCAAAGCCTTGGGTCGGCTCACAAAACATCAATTAAAATATAATACACTAAAAATATAAAACGAATTAACAATATAAAATAAGTTGCCCTGGCCAAAGAATAAAATAAGCAAATAATATTAGCAATTAAAATGACGTTTGAATAAAAAGGTCTTCGCCTGGCACCAAAAAACAAATAATGACGGCACCAGGCAGACCTCTCTAGGGAGTGCATTCCATAGATTTAGATTTTAGAACTTATGCTGCAATCCTAAACACACCTAGTATCCCTTTGAATTCAGTGGGATTTGCATCCAAGTAAGCGTGATAGTGTTGTTGTCACATAAGTATATTATTTGTTTGAATTGTGTGTGCAAAATAGGGATGTGGAAATAGATTTTTATCCTGTAGTAAGATGTATTCTTCAAAGAAGTAAGAGACTATGAACAAGATTTCCTGCAAATATTGGAAAAGTGGTATATGGCTCATATAATCAATAGTCTGAACACTTATTTATGGTTGCTCTGTCCTTAGTTTTCCTTATAACCAAGTACACACTCAAACATACTCATTTGAACTGGTGCTGGCCACTTGGAACAATTCTTTTTCTTTAACCAAGAATGTATCTATGAACAATGCTATATCACAATTTAGTGCCTTTTTCATCGAGCCATTTCAGTTAGCCACTTTCCTGCTCTGCTGCTTTTTATTCTGGTGTTAGCTCCTCTGAAAGCAGCAGCAAACCTTTTTATTTACCTTTGAAAATGCTTTAACCCTCTGCTGCCTGGAAATAACATGGTAGAAAAACAGCACATGCTTCTGATGAAGAGTTCTGTTTATCTTTTTGTTTCAAGAATGACAACTACTACTTCAATTTCAAAAGTGATAGCTCTACAAAAATGTGTTTTGCATAAAGAATTTTGTCTCAGCACTATTTTGAACAAAATTTCAGTGTCATTTCTAAACCATTATACCTGCTAATGTCTGCCTGACTGGTTTTAAGTGAGCTGTACTCAGGAACATATATACACTTGTTTTTATGAGGCATTTTAGGGTGCAATCCACTCAAAACTATGGCTCAGTTAGTTTAATGAAACTCACTCCTGGAAAAGTGTTTGTATGGGATTGTAGCCTAAAGCATTCTTTAAAATATCAGCTTTATTTCTGTTGAATATATGTTTGTTTTAAGTATGAAAACTGCTAAGCTGTAAGAGTAACTTACTGAATGTTTTTCCTTGCCACTTTGTCACTAGGGTCCCGTCTTCGTCAGGAAGACTTTCCACCTCGAATTGTTGAACATCCATCAGATGTAATTGTTTCTAAAGGGGAGCCAACTACTTTGAACTGTAAGGCTGAAGGAAGGCCAACTCCTACTATTGAATGGTACAAAGATGGAGAGCGTGTGGAAACTGACAAAGATGATCCCCGCTCACACCGCATGCTGCTTCCTAGCGGATCTTTATTTTTCTTACGAATTGTACATGGACGCAGGAGCAAACCAGATGAAGGAAGTTATGTGTGTGTTGCAAGGAACTATTTGGGGGAAGCTGTGAGTCGTAATGCATCCCTGGAAGTAGCCTGTAAGTAACTCCTACACTCTATATGTCCTGAAAAATCTTGAACTTATTTTGATTCACAAAAGAGATACATGTACTTTTTATTAAGAATCCCAAACTTTATCTATTAACTTGATGTTGTCTATTAAGTATTTGGCAATGCTTAAATGAAAGTGTGCTTATTACCCTCCATCTTTCTATGTATGTTTATTGAGAACAGTGACCTTGCATAATATATGGTTTGTACTAAGATACTTACTTTGCATTGCATATAAGTTATGATTTGCACTAGCCTTCGAGAGTCTAATCTTTCCTTCAGGTATAATTTCTTCTTGAAAATATAGTTAAATCTGGTTTTGTTGCAGCTAATGTCTAAACCACCTATTATTTAGTATACAGGCATTTGCTATTTATTTATATATACAACATTTATTTGGGAGTGGCATATAAGACATAAGAAATGGCCTTTAAAGATTGTCACTGAAGGCATCACAGATGTTTTGATAACCTTCTTTTGTTTGTGGGATAGCCACTTCAATAAGGAAAATCGAGGTGATAACTACTCTGCTTGTGCACTCTGGGTTTAAAACAGAGCACATAGTTTTAATGCTATGAACTTTATAATGCATGATCTATCTAACTGTATTATTTATCCCATGTTAATAAGTGTCTATTCATTTGAGAATTAAGCACAATGGTATTTCAGTGTGTTACCTTGAAGTGATTTGTTGTGAGTTATGAAAATATTCAGAATATTGGATAAATTGTTAGTAGGGTAAAATCAGTGTTTTGATTGAGTATTAAGGATACCTTCTAAAACTTGTTCTGCTTGCTATCAGTATTAATTATGTTCATTTGGTAGTACTGTATTGACATTCTATGTAGAAGGCATGGAAGTAGAGTTCACATCAGGGTTATGGATATTTTGTTACTGTAAAGTTGAAAATAAAGGCATAAAAAGCACTTTGAAGTTTTAACTAGATAGAATTGATTCACTTCAATGCATCTGATCACATCTAGAACTACTTAATATGTATGAATGTATAAATTCAGATACATTTGCTAAAAATGTAGTGTCAAAATGAAGTACAGACAGTCACCAAGTTATGAAGTCTGAGCTATGAACAACCTGTAGTTATAAACGACTGTCATAAAGCTTGCAGAAAATTGTCATCACCAATGACAAAGAGGAAGTGGGAGAGGGGGAAGCCTCCAAAGCATGCCTGTCTAGAGGGGGAAATTTCTCCAGAATATCCTTGATGCAAAGAAGAGGCACTGATGAGTTTGGGTGGAAGAGTTTTTCCACTTTCACAGGAGTCCTGTGCCCCTAACCCCTAAGAATGTGGAGGGCTGACTATATGTGATCCAACTTACATGCAAATTCATCTTAAAGACTAATTTCCATTTTCTCAGAAACAAAACTTGTTCATAACCTGGGGACTGCCTGCATATTATGCATGCATTATTCTTGAAATTAAATTTTGCTTAAACAGCCACACTTTCTTTATTACTAAAGTTATTTTATATAATTTAAGATTAGTTTTGTATTTAAATATGGAATTGATTTCTTGGATTTTTAGAAATGTGACATTTTGTAAGCAGGTTTGAGGGTCCATTACTAGGACATGTGGGTACCCTGAAATATTAACACATATGTCACAATTATTGCTGAGCATCGAAGAATTGAGGCCTTTGAATTGTGGTGCTGCAGAAGACTCCTGCGAGTCCCTTGGACAGCAAGGAGACCCAGCCAGTCATTCTTAGAGGAGATCAACCCTGACTGCTCTTTAGAAGGCCAGATACTGAAGATGAAACTCAAATACTTTGACTAGCTAATGAGAAGAAAGGACTCACTGGAAAAGAGCCTAATGCTGGGAACAATAGATGGCAAATGAAGAAGGGGATGGCAGAGAATGAGGTGGCTAAGTGGAGTCACTAAAGCAGTCAGTGTGAGCTTAAGTGGACTCTGGGGGATGATGAAGGACAGGAAGGCCTGGAGGAATGTTGTCCATGGGGTCATGATGGATCGGACATGACTTCACAACTAACAACAACAAATACAAGTGGTTGCTTGCAGTTATGCCATAGTAGCTTGGTACTAAAAATAAACTACATCCACATATCTGAGCATTTATCTCATTTCCTAAAATCAAGGACATTTTTCAGTGTTCCTTGATATGATATGGTGCATAAAAGTAGGAAAATCCATGGAATAAAAGCCAGGTTTTGCACAGCCATAGTTACTATGCCAATGTTGTTTTATGTGATCTGTACTGTATTGATCTACAGGCAGCAAGCTCTGTACAATATACTTCAGCATCAGTCCAGTGCATTTCACCATGTGCACACACACACACAAACCCACACACATTTCTTGTGCCCTAGAATTTAGACATTCCACAGTGTAAATGTCTGAAATTCACTTTTCATTGTATTTTTATAGGTTTTACTTTTCATTCATATTCTTTAGATAAGTTGCACCACTTATGAAGAATTCCTTAACAATTTAGGCTGAAAAAATCCATATTAAGAAAAGTTGGGTAAAAGGATACCTACAAAATTATGTATGAAAACACATTTCAAAACAGAATTAGTATTTCTTACAATCATTTAGAATTTTACAAGGATAACATAATTATGTTATTTCACTGTTCTTGAGCAGTTCGAATACTGTATGGGTTAGACACCTAAGAATTATTTATCTCTTTGATCTTGTTTCCTTATGGTTTGTTCTTTTATCTAAGGGGAAAAAAATCACAGCCAAGATTCAGATTGGTATTTGAGACATTATACCAAAGCAACTAGCCATATTTGAAAATAACAGTATATGTTATAATATTTCATATCACTTATCTGTTCTCCAGCAGCTACTGAGAGTCTCCAGTTACAATATGTGCAATGTCTTGAGTTGAGTTTTTAACCACTGCAGCTGGTGGTAGGTCATGCATGAACTGAGAGTCAGATTAAAAAAAAAGTCCCCAGGGAAGAAATAAAACTGACTTCCACTGTATAAAGTTGTTTAAAAATAAATATCAGAAAACATGAAATACAACATTAAAACTATGAAGATGTTTTGAATGGCATCAAGTACCTGGGAGTAAATTATTTTAGTTTTTTGTAACTTTGTAAACCTTTGTAATTTGATTTCTCCTGTTAAATTCCTTGTATCTCAAAGGGAAGATTCTTAGGCTTTTAAATTAAGAAGTTCTTTGCCACTCTTTAAGCATAATCCAATGTATGTTTGTGCTGGATGTTTTGTTAATACCAATGAAACTGAGTTAAAGTGATACATACAGTCTAATGTAAAACGCTCCTATCAGTAAGGATGGCTTGTGTTCAAAGATAGCAATGGGACTTTTCCATCGTCTTTTGCTCTTCATTGCAGTACCCTGCTTTTCCTGTGAACAAACCTTTTCTAAAGATTGGACAGTTCCACATTCTCTACAAAGTTCTGGAATATATGAAGACACATCAGTAAGGGGTGGGGACAACAGAAATTAGAGTACTTTGTTTGGCAGCGCTTTTCTATTTGCAGAACATTTAGATTTAAAGCAAATAGAAACTATACATGAAAATTGGGTTTCTGGAAGAAGCACACCATCCCAAAATTCAGTGCAGGAGACCTTCCTTACAGTCTGAAGCAATTCAAGATTTTAGTAGGAAAAATTATTTGGCTTCTATACAAGTTGTAATCCAAGCTTGTCTGTTCCTGCCTCTCATCTGGCTTTGTGTAAGCTAAAAGGGCACCCAAGATCTCCCGCTTCAACTTGTGACTGCCACTGGTATCTTTTTATTTTCACATTATGCTTTTGAAATGTCTGGAAGGGCCATGTGCATGACATAAAAACTGAGCAGCAGAATATCTACTGATATCACCAGTTTCGAAGATAAGAGTGGTGCCAGGTCAGACTTATTCAATACAGCATAATGTTTGGAATATGAAAGATGACATTAGTTCAACAGCACCCTCCCACACATGTTCTCCAGCAACTGCATAAGGAAACATAATGCCACTGATAAAAAAGTAGCAGTCAGTCCTAATGAGTAGTAGCCATTGATAGATTTGTCCTTCCATGAATCTACACAGAGTGGAAGTGCACTTTGACTTACTGTACATCTTCTCATAGGGTTTCTTTTTTATTTTCATTCATCTAAGCAGCTGGGCTTATTTTTAGTCTAATTTTGTGTAGAAGTAAGTCCTTTGGTGCTCAGGAAGGCTTGCTCTCAAATAATACATAACTGAATGGCATACAGGATAGTGGAAAATCTCCTTGAGTGACTGTTGGCATTAGCTAGATAATGTTACTGGAAAAGTAGTGTCAGGAAGGACTTCTTTTTCTTGTTTTAACCACTGTTGAAAATTGTTGAAATGTTGCTCTATCACCCTTCAAGAAAGTTAGTAAGAGCTAAGTGTTACATTTTGGTACTTGCACAGCATGTGGCTTGTATTCAATCCCCCCCCCCCCACAAGTTTGCCACCACTATACTAGGATTTTTAAAAAAGGATCAACCTCAGCTGAAAAAGACAGCATCAGATATAGTTTGCCTTTGACTAAGTATCAGGCTTGATGTTGGTACTGAAAAGTCTCTCTCTACATATATATAGACTGCCAGTTCTGTCCAGTGAATCAAGGAGATGACTGTTTGTGATTTACCAACAACCATAGCATGGATCGCTTGCAAATGCAGATGTATTGCAGCAATATGCAAATTGCTGCTTTTCAGAAATATCAGATGCTTCTGGTTTTCATTTATAAAATTGATAAAGTTAGAATGCAGATTATTTGTTTACATAGTTTATGAGATGAATACCAGTTGCAGGCCAGTACCCAGACTCTAGCTTTGAAATGGTTCTATCTATACAATTTTAGACATTTTGGCAACTAGTTCCTCACGTTGGTAGCTTATTCATGGGAGAATGTATATCTGAGCTACAAAGTCTTGGCAAGATTGCCCATATTAATGATGCCAAAAATCGTAATTTATTTCTTTTCAGTTCATGGAAGGTGACATATTTACAAAAG